ATGTAACAATTTTGAAACAACAAAATTTGAAAACGCATCATCAAAATTGCTTTAACCCAATGAAAAGGAGAAAAACCCCACATTTGATCTCAACCTCGAGATATATAAATATGATAATAGAAAAGATTTGAGGTCCTAAAAATAGTATATCTTGTTTATCCAGATCATCCAATATTTAGAATTTATAAGTGTTGATAGATCTACTCAATTCGTTTTTTTAGCGTTAAATATTATATTAAGGTCATCATAATAGTTTCTGACACCAAAACTACATCTTTTAGTAATATTGAAATGTGTGCCTAACTTTTTTTTTTTGGGTAATTAGGTGCGCTTAACTTTCATTGTTGAAAGTTGACACTATATATAAATTATACGACACACATATATAGATATACAAAAGAAGGCCGGATAGGCCATAAAAAAGTAGGGCCTGGGCCAGGTTAAGGCCAAGGCCGGCACAGCTTGGCTTGGCCCTCCCCTCTTTTTTTTCTTTTTTTCTTCTATTCTTTCTTCATTATTTTTTGGCCAACCCCAGCTTGGCCAGCCCCAACCTATTAGGTTTAGGGCCAACCCTAAGGGGACAAGCACAAGGTCAGAGCTGGCCCAGCCCAAGCCTAACCCAATGCCACCTTTAGTATTAAATAGGAGGGAATAGAAGGGGATAATCCATGAAAGTCCATCTCATAATCTCCCCCACTAACTTCACCTCGTCACGTCTCTATGCGTCCGTTCTCCTCTTCTTCTTCTTCTTCATCATCAACTTTTTTTTTTATTGGATGCAGTTTCTATAAGGTCTAGGCTTTATCAAAATAAAGGAACACCTCCACTCCAGTCATCATTCGAAAAGCACTTTGAGCATTAAAAATCTCCTCTAAAATCAATTTCCAGCACCAACTATGAAATTTGAATATAAAAAAAGGGCACAGATCTTGTCTCTCTGTGAAAATTTATTTTTAGGGTGAAATGGACAGTCTAGATAATGTGTAACAATATAGATTATTTTTTGGGCTTGAAATCCTAATTTTTTTAACAGCCATGTTGGTCAAGGCCAATATGGTCGTTTGAAGAATTTTTTGTAAGTTTTTAGGTGAAATTTTACTTGTTTTGATTCAAAACATTTTCCTTTGTTTAATCCTTCTCTCCCTCCCTCCCTTTTCTCTGACAAGCATATGCATCATGTGCATTCAAAAAACAATGTCAGATACAACTTGCATGGACATTGAGTTGCAGCATGGAATATAACTGAATCAATAAACACACACATGACATGTTTGTGGGTGGTATAAGACGAAGGGTCTAGATTCATAACTTAAAAAAATTTCCATTCTATTAAAACATAAGGCTTTTAATACATGAAGAACTCAATACAAAACTATGATATATGAATTCCAGCCTTCAAAATTGGTATGTACCAACCTTAATAAATAAAATTACAACTCTAATAGGTCCCTTAGATATCTCTTTCTCAAAATACAATTAAGTACAATACAATGTCCAAATACTTAAATGTACATCTCTACAACATATTACTAAACTCATGCTCAAATTCATCAATTTATAAAATTTACATAAACATCTCTTCTTCAACATTCGCATCATATGCCACATGGTCTTATACAATTCATATAGTTTCTCATAACAATCAAATGGGATTTCCATTTGCACGAACAATAGAGTATAATATTATAGCTCATATCACAAGATTTTAAGAGTATTCTCGATATTCGAATAACATATTCAGTTCTATCATTCATTAATCACTTAATAACAATAAATATATCAACACGCAAATGATCTTGGGGGAAGCCATGGTTCGAACCCCTTGTGCCCTGCCTACAATCGAGGCTTTTGAGGACTTAATTTTGTCCCAAAGATGAGTACAAGAGTGATTTTATAATATCAAGGTGATTAATTCAAATGGGAGAAGCTTGGAACACTTTTAAAATAACTAATAAGGCCCAATAAGAAAGATTAAAATGATGGATATCAGTTTGCAAAAGAGAATAAGAGAGATCATACTCAAAACAAGCCAAATATGAACAAACTACTCCATATGGTCCACCGGTCCACCAAAGTTTTTCTCAATGTCAAAAGATGAACTCTAACTCCACAAACGGACCTTTAAAATAGATATGAATTCTCTGAACTTGAATATTAATAAAGATATACTTAAGAAAAATTGAATGGAAATGATCTATGAGAAACTACACATGATTTATAAAGCAATCAAGGTATAGAACTCATGATCAAAGTTAAGGGAGACACTTTATGTATCTAACTTAAAGATCATTTAAAAGCAATAAAAATGGGAAGTTAAACTTTAGTAAACAAGAATTTACAGCAGGTTTAGATAATAAGGAAGTGAGGCAATGAAGGAAAAACTCACAAATACATGATACCTTGATGGTGACATATGATAGACTTGACCTTGTGGAAAGAAGGGGCTCCATAAAAGATCATCTTCTAACCAAGAACATGAGCCCAAAGGGGCTGAACGTGGAGGCCTAGTTTTGATATCTATCCTCTCTCTTTGATTAATGATAAGTGTTTTCTTAAGGTTTGAATTTGGGTCTTAAGTGTATTTATGTGAAGTGTATAAGTTATGAATTGATCATGACCCTTGATATACTTTATCAATGACACATGAGAGGTTAATTATCCTAACCACTCATCTCCATCCAACCACTAGGATGAAGGGATAATATTTAAGCACCTTATCACCTCATAAACCCTAAATCAAAGCCACATTACCCTTTTGTCATTGTCCGCATAAATTAATTCCAATCAAATCCAAAAGAACTTTACATAAAGACCCTTGAGATTTTAATAAATTTATGTGTAGAGAACGATCAAGGATAAGGATATGTTGGTAAAATGTGTCAATCATATGGTGGGTTATGACATCGCCAATAGAATTTACTCAACTCACACCCTTCACATGCACCTTACACAATTCACATGGGTCACGCCGATGGGGCACTTCCACATGAAATCTTCACATGGCATGTCACATATGAATAACAATATTTTAAAAATACCATTTTATTTGAATAAGTGTTTTGGCTCTATACAAGCCAAGCATGTCACATATGTGACATTTAAGCATGTGACAAAAAACCAACATTAAGTCATAATTATAATTAACAATATAACATAAAGTTTGAAATAAATAATAAGTGATTAAGCGCCATAGGGTCTCCAATGCATGAGAATTTGTGCCCAAGGAAGGGGGGCCAAATGTAAGAGGTCCATGGTGCCACGAGGCCATCCTATGGCCACTCAAGTGCCAAGTGGCATCTACATGGACGTCCTTACATAAGCCCGGATAATTTTGAAAATCATATTTTTGGTGATTTAAAAAATCCAAAAAATTCTAAAAAAATCCTAATAAATATTTAAATCGGATTTAAATATCATTTCTCATTAAAAAGTATGTGAGATCTCGAGGCTTTGATTCTAGGTATTGAAGTACTCCATTTGGCTAGTCTCGAATCATGTTTCGTCGTGTCTCAAATTGATCCAATAGACCTATGCTCTACAGTCTATAGCAATGACACATAATTGATCATATCAAAGTAACTGAGCCAGAGCTTCCCACCATCCGGCTTCTCAATGGATTACAGGTACACCCTGTAGGATATGTTACTATATATATATATATATATATAGTGAGAGAGAGAGAGCATTGAAATAAGAATTCCACCTTAAATACGTTTTACAAAATAACTATGAGTGATAAAACACAAAGCACTAACATGTAACATATTTTTCATCTTTTACACGTTGCTTCACTTGGTTCTTGGTATCAACTAATAAGCGTGTAAGCCCGTGTGAGCAAATTGGATATTTGTGGGAGAAAGATTTATTATGGACCAGAATTTTTGGATATTTTATTTTATTGAGAATCTTTTTTTATATTTTTTACATGTGTGAGTTCAATAGAGGATTGGACGCTCAAAATTTGGTATCAAAATATTTTATAGAAAAACTTAAGAATAAAATACTGTAGAGACGTGACATTCTCCATTCATAATAGACCCTTGGATAAAAGGAAATATATAAGTTTTATGTTGTAGAAAAATCATAGAAAGCTTGCCCCTTATACTTGGACTAACATCTAGGGTCTACGTTCTATCTACGAACAGCATGGGAACCATATTCGTCATTGTTGCCGCACTTAAAGCGGCCCCAAATTTTTGAGTGGGGAATAGGTGGGACTACTGAGTTGATGTTTTTAGTGAGTAACCAATCCCCACCATGTGTGTAACAATCTCACCACTACCAGCAGATAAGAACTGCACTGTACTGGTGATGAATGTTAGGTATAAGTATCCAATATGCTATCACTTAGAAGAAAAAAAAGAAAATATTCCATACTTGCTATTAACATGGGATAAAATACATACTACAACATCTACTATTCATATTTATCCTAAGATAGTGGGTTAAGTTGTAGCTCACTTTTTAATAACGTCTCACTACATCTGGCAGAGAATGTATTCCCTGACCATAGGTATAGTACCCAATCCTATTTCCATAAACTCCCTACCAGCTGGTTAAGGACATAAGATGTTTTTTGTTTTTTTGGTTCATTGACACTATTTGATATTGATTGTTATTTGGACCATTAATTTATTTAGAAAGGAGAAAGTATACAACGAGACCATTTACCTTCGGTAAAAAATAGTCACAATTAATCTCCCAAGCTATCAAATTTCACATCGGATGTTTATTAATAATGATGACCTCCCCTGTATGAAAGACAAATAGCCTCATTGTATACAATCCCTTTAAAAAAAGCTCCTAGCACCATGTGATGGATCACATATTTTATGACCCTTACGAGTCACAAGTAATATGACTAAAAAAAAACTAATGATTTTGGTTGTGAATCACTATTGTTTACTTCGGATCTTCTCATATTTACTCCAATTCAATTCTTTGGGTCAAGTGGCCCTCCTCAATGAACAATGGTCACCCAAAAACAGGCTCTGCAGAGGTGGTCAAGGTGGCAGGCGCCACAATATGGTGTTTACTGTTTAATTCTCAACAGGTCTCAATTTGACATTTAAAAAATAAAAATAAATAAAAAATACTGAGTCCATACAAGGGCAGATTCTTTTGGTTGACCAGGGAGACAGTGTGTTGGGCATCCATTTTCAAAAACGATCTACGAGCCAGCGACATTGTGGTGTCCTCGCCTAATGATCATAAGTAACCGGCGCCTCCTATGAGTCCATCAACCATATCGATAATCTCCATTTGTCAGAATGTGTGCAGGAGCATACACAAAAGAGAGAGATAGATAAATAGATAGACAGAGAGAGCACTTCTTATAGTGATCAGGTCAATCGAATGACTAACCTAGACTGCTGCCTCAGCCTTGAAACATGACTGCAAATTGGCATGACTCACAAGGTAACAGAACCGACGCAATCTTTTAATTCTATTGGAAAAAAAATTTATTTTTCTTCTATGGGGAAAGAATTGCAAGGATATAAACTGATACAAACACACTGCAAACCTCTAAGACTCATCACAGAACATAATGATTCAGATTCAGTATCTCGGGACAAATCTTGATGACCATGTGCCTTGTGGAGTTGATGAAGTCAAAGGAACGGTTGAGAACTCACTCTCCGGTGAGCCTTGAGGCTCTCTGGGAATATGAATATGAGATGATGCACCAGAAGCAGCAGCATATACCCTTGTGCCTGAATCAGCAGTGCTGCTGCTACTTGTTCCAGGCTGTTGTGGAGATTGCTTAGATGGTGATGCTCCCAACCTGGCACTAGCTACTGCATTTTCTCTCCTATCTCTTTCTTCAGTTTCTTTGAGTAGGAAGTCGACCCAGAGATCTGCAAAAGACTGTTCAACAGTGCACCATGAAGATTGTCAAATCTAGTGAACTGAAAAAAAGTGATACATGGCCAAATGGGCCACTAGAACTTTACATACCGATGCAAAGGTTAATAGCAAACAAGGAAAGATAGAATTTATATCACAGCTCCATTTGGAGCTTCAAGAAGATCCTATATACTCCAGCATTTTAAGGTCAGTCCATGGCATCATAAGCCAACAAATAAAACAATGACAACCCATCATGACAGAGGCAAGTAATCTGCCCTCTTCACCAGACTCATTAATATGTGGTCCCACCAAGAGAGATCGAATTAACTAGGTCCTATGAGAAATCAGGAAACCACGTCCCAACAGAATCACTAAACTATACATAATTGGACAACACCATAAAGTGTTTCTTTTCTCTAGCAATAGATAGAAAACCATGAGTAGTTTTCTGCAACTCCCAGGCCCTTCATAAACTCCTAATTGGAGCTGAAAAACTTCCAGTGCGCCCTTTCCTACCCATCCTAAAACTGGCTCTCAAAACCACTAGGATGCCAAAAACAGAAAAAAGTTGCAACTCATCAATTGTTTGCGGCAAACAAATATATATGTCAATGAAGATTGGAGACTTAGACCCCCTTGAACTCTAGAGGTTTCACATGGAGATTGAGGGAATTTTGCAAGCAAAAAGGAAAGAGGAAAAAGAAACAGCAAAACGTATATACTTGTATGTTAAACCTACACTAAAATCATAAATGTGCTCAAACCAGTAAATTCAAGGAAAAGTAAATTTATATGTTAAGCATTAATTTTTCTTAATGCAAAAATCATTTTTCCACATCTTTAAACTTTTAGGAGTTCGATAAGTTTTTATTATCATGAAATTTCAGAACATTTGTATTTATCATTTCTGTTTGTTAATAAATAGAATATTCCAACGTATGGACCAATGATATTTACTAGAGCAATTGACTCATCTAACTCATAAATTGAATAAAATAAGTGATATTATAATTTAAATGTGGGTCCCAATTTGAATGCGAGTCATGAGATAGTAACAACTTCAATGAGTTCCGCATTTTCAAATTTGATTTTAGGTGTGCAAGCAGGCAGATTCAGACACTGATTATTTTAGTAATCCATCTTTTCTATTCTCCAACCAAACCTTGAGTGGCGATATATCGGACGCCCATGGTGCAGGGTGGGTTACTGACAAAGTGAGCAGCCAAATCTGGGCCCATAAACAGTTCACTTCTAGCCCAACATCAGATATAAGATTGGAATCAACTGTTTCTCAAAATCAGGAAAAAACTTTTTCAGATAAGCGACTCCATTTCAAAACTTCATGGGTGCTTAGAGCTAATGCGTTTTTGTGAGTGTAGAGACCAAACTGCAGTTCCAGACATCAAGAAATCCGGGTTATACACAATGCATGTCACAAAGTCACTCATTCACACAATCACATTTAAGATGCATAAGAAAAGCATAATGAACATTGCTCCAGCAATAGTTTGGTGTATAGGTATAATAAGTACAACTATAAATAATGGTAACACCTCATTTCAAACACCTAAAAAGGATGCTTTTTAGTTATTTCTAGTTTCCAACTGCCTAGGCACCCAAGCTCACCAGCTGCTTGGGTGCCACTAGACCTTCTTATTTTAAACTATGGCCATTAGGGTAGTGAAGGATTCTTTAATTGATGCGAGCCACTTAACCCCACAAAATGTTCAGGATTGCACTGTCATATTTGACAATATTCCATCAGCTATAATAGAAAGACCAAGCCACATCCAGGCTTGGTGCATCACCCTTTGATGCTGAAAGGGCAACAGATTCCCTTCCAATTTCTAGGTTCTCCTAAAACAACAGCCATTCTGTTCTTTTGTAACAAGGAAAGAGAGTGTGTGAGGGATATTCAGTTCCCTGTTTAGGAGCTGAAAGTATATGAAAATCAAAAAGTTGTTTGTATCCCTGACTATGGGTTCTGCAAGTTGTTTCCTAAGGAACCTCTTCGATGTCAACAATTGAGAAATGGTTATGGACCTTCCTTTCCAATGTTGTGGCAAGGAAAACCTCCAGTCCTATCCTTGAGCCACTCAACTATACTTTTGAATACAGTCTCCTCAATTGGTAAAAGATTTCAGATGTCATTTTTATATATTGCCATTTTTAGCAATTTGGGAAAGTTATGTTTGGTGGTGCCATCCAAAATGAAGTAGGAGAGAATGACAGTACTTCACTTTTTGCCATATTGTTCAGCTAATTTAATGTAGCCTGAACTCCACAAGTTTAAGTGAAAACACATCTTCACAGAGAGATTTTACTATCATTGTCTTATGGACTCCCGTGGCTGAGTCAATGATTTGATTATGCACCCCCTTGGTGACTGGATCAGCAATCAGATTTATAAGATAGAGATGTTTTAAAACTTGTCAAGTAGACTCAGGACACACTCTAGTCAAATCAGCTTGGCAAAGTGGCAAGTCTCAGCAAGTAGTATGAAATGCAGCCAACCTTGGATCTTAAAGAGACTCGGCCGAGTGCCCCAGTCTTTCTATGACTCAGCCAATTCAACTCCTTATAACAAGGCTCAGGAACAAGCATGGGTAAAGGAGATGAGTTGTGCTTGGTAGGCAGCCAACGTAAAACTTCTCCAAAACTTTAGTTGACCTTGGTTGGGAAAACGCTCTGATGATGATAACGACAATGATGATGACTAGGCTCAGGAACAACCCAAGTTCTATGATTTCAAGTTAACCTTGTCAGAAGTACCATTTAACAATGGGTTACTGTAATACAAATTAATAAGTATAATTGTAATACATATTGTACAATAAGGACAATGCATGGGTAGAGCTTTCAGCTAATATAAGAGCAACCAACTAACCATGAAGATTTTAATCTATGGGATACTTCTCTAGTGCTTTTTCCCATTTCTTAGTAATCCTCATCATCTTTTGCTGCTCATATTTCCTCTTTAGACAAATGGTTTGGCAAATATAAACAAGAAAATGAATAACTATATTGAACTTCAAACATAAAGAATAACTCAACAGAGAAAGTAAATATGATGAGCATTATTAAACATTTTGAAATGTGCTTAGCACATGGACTCGTGGCTGGCATCAGTCCTCAATCTTTCTCCACGTCCAAGGCCAGATATGGCTGCTCAACTAGTCATATACTGGCCACCAAACCAGAATCTCTGCTTAAAAAAGTTCATTCCATAATATCTAAAAGATACAATATGTCACCATGTGACCTTGGCAGAGATCATTCTTCTCCATGGCATGCATGTGATATATTCTTACATATTCCCAGACATGAATAGCATAAATGAAAGCAAGAAGCACGCAAAGTAGCAACCCTCACACATGTTCATTTTAAGCTACTAATAGAAAACTCAATGTACGGAACTCACCTGGCTTTCAGATGGTAGATGTGAAGAAGTGCCAGAAGAACTCCCTCCCATGATGCCACCAACCAGGCGCCCAGGAAGACCCAACACCCCCCGCACAACACCTTTCCCAGCAGCATGCTGGGCAAAACCTATTCTCTGTTTGTCTTCCTCTGAGAAGCCCAGCAACCGAACCATAAGATCCAGAACCTGTTGATTTCAATAATCAAAGGATATGTTCATGGCCATGGCAGAATGCACAACTAATACCCAACAGAACTTAGACAAGGAACATCCCACACTAAGAAGTAGTTACCTCTTTGCTGTGATTTCTCTGGAAATAGGTCACAAGCAATTTGATGACAATGCGCCTGCCAGAAACATTAATATTTCAACTAAATTCAGCTTCAGGGGGCAAAGACCGGACCATTGCAGGTGACATATGATTCACTTATATAGATTATTAAGTTGTCCTCAAATTTCATTTGCCAATACTTGTTACATTCACCCTAATTAAATGGATTCTTATGTTTGGGTACCATACAAATCTTAGAAAACTATCAGCAAGCATAACGAGACAGCAGATTGTTCTTCTTGTTCACTAACCATTGACTACATCATCGATGTAGATTTCAATCTTCTTTTTTGTTTTGAGTACACATATGAGCTTTGAAAACTTGTATAAATTCAACCAGCACATAATTGAGTTTTTTGGCTACTCACCACGAAATAGATTGTTAGCAAATAATATTAAATTTTATTATCTTTTTACTGCATAGAAGGTCGTAAAATCTTATTCTTCTTCGAATGGGGATACAGACAGCCCCATACCCATGTCTAACACTAACACAAGTATAGATGTCCATGCAACATAGCATTCATCACTTTAGAACTATGAAAAAATTCTAGGAATATAATCATGAAAATCCGTGTGGTAGCATGAGGAAAGATAATAGATTCATACAAGTCAGCAATGACCTTCCAAAATCAACAATGAGATGCTTGGTATGACAGAAGGAAATCTCAATGTCTTAAATTCTTTTACATATGCCATATGCTATAATGGTAGATATTGAATATATATAATTCTCGAAATATTTTATAGTTTATTCTTACCTATCAACAAAATAATCAGAATCCAGTGACATCCGGTTAAGTCTTGTCATGCTCTGCTCAAGGGCACGTCGCAATTTTGAATTGTCTTCCTCCAGCCTATGCACTGTGTTTTGGCTTTCAGAAAATAGCCTTTCAGCTTGTGATAACTTCACCAAAACATCATCTTTCTCTTGTTTTGCCATCTCAAGCCTATGATTGGTATCCTAAGAAAAGTAAGAAGTGCATAAGATGGCATAGCTGATAAAGTTTTAGGAATACTCAAAAACCACATGGTAGCCTTTTGATTTTCTCTTTTGATGGGTAAGGGAGATAAAAACGCAAAATCCTCCCCCCCCCCTCCCAACAAAAAAAGAAGTAAGAAAAAAATTTGCACCTGCAAAAATCAGAACTTGGATTGCTGCCCTAATGTCTAAAGTGGGACGTTTCACCTCCGGTAACTGCAGTTATGTGAGAGCTCCATCAGGCATTGGTTTCTAAAGGCTGAGCTATCTATTATTCCAACCAGTGTACAGCTTGAGCGGGCTTCTTATGAAGTGTTGTGTCGGAGCAGTGTTTAAGGGAAGAATCATAATTTTGATGTAAAGGAGCAGCGTGGAGGCAATGCGGCAATTTTATAATTGCATAGGAGTGATGTAATATATTATATTGGTACAGTTTCAATATCTATATCTATATATATATATATATATATATATATAATATTTGTAAAGGAGGTGAGGCTTTAAACAATCAAATTAGAGCCCACCTCAAAAATTTCACTAGAAGACATTGTTTTGATGCCAAATATCCTCAAATTGATCATCTCAACATCAAGATGCATGGACATGAGAAAAAAAAATGGATTTCAAGTTTTAGAAATAGTGCATCTTGTAACGCATTTTTTGACCATCAATTTTCAAGATTTTCATAGATCTGCTCGATCTACACTATTTTTGAAGCTTTAAATTTTATAATTAAATATATATTTTAAGGCTATCATAAAGATGTCCAGTACTGAAACCACATTTCTCGACACTATTTGAAGATGCACTTTACTTTGATTGTTTAGAGCCTCGGCTCTATACAAACCGCACCCTAACATAAATCATACAGCTAGACTCATAATATATAAAGCGAAATAAATGGGGCATCTGGAACGACTTGTAGCCATCTCTCTCCTCTCTTCCCCTCCCTTCAAAACTCATTTTCTAAAAGGATAAACACTGAATATTATTTCAATATCATTTGAGCTAACATTGCACACATGTTCATAAGTTTGACAAGTAATCATTAATGAATCAAAAGAAAGATCAATATACATTATCGGTATATGCCAGACACAGAAGAGTTAAGAATCAGAAATTATTTACCTTTAAGAATTCGGAAAGACGAGAAGATTCTTCTCTTGCAATAGCCAATTCGCCAACCAATCGTTCCTGAAATGCACCAAATCAACCAGCAACATATCAATGGGGTAAGTTTGCATGCAGCCCTTTGACAAAAAAATGCAAGAAGTGGTCAAACTTACCTTGGCTTCACTTTCAGCATAGTACTGGCCGAGAGCAGTTTGGAGATTCAGAAGCTCAGCCTTTTTGGATTCTAGTGACTGCATACAATTTCCAAGCTTCCGATTTAAATCACTGATCAGTTCATTTGACCTCTGCAATTCAGAGCTGTTATTCTTCTTAAATTCTTCCACATTTGAAAGTGCCTGCTTTAGAGCTGTTTCCAACTGTAAAATACGGTTTGCTTGACATTCAGAAGTTGCTTGAAGCTCTTCAATGAGTCTGCTGTCCTCATCCATCTTCTCTGATTCTTCAAGCTCCTGTACATCACCGAGTGAAAAAGTCAACATATAGATCTATGAAATAGAAACATGATGCATGATATACCAACTTTGCAAAGAGAAGAAGACCAATTGATATGGTTATCTTGTCCAGCAAATTCACCATGTTTAGATACACGCATGAATGGACATAGTCTATTCGGTTTATATTCATTCTTGCAGCATAATCAAATTTGCATGCAAAGGTCTAAGAGGGAACAAATATCATGGTCTTGACAAGATTCATGTCAAATGTGTGATCAAAATAGTAAGGCACATAAAAACTTATGATTGGTCTAGAAGTCTAAAAGGATTACTACCATACAACTCTCACCCAATCAGAATAGCTCCTTCAAGCACCCTCAACAAATCAATAATATAAGCCTCACAAGAGCCACAATAGAGAGCCTAGGATCATGACCAATACCATGGAATTCACGATCTACCATGAACCAATTTTAGGTTCATACGCAATGTAGGACTTGAGGCAATTAAAGACAAAAAAAATGGATAATGCATATCCACAATATCTCCAATAATATTTAGCTATAAATCCTCATCAATGATCACCACAATTTTAGAACAAGATGAGCACTTGGGACACCATAGTGACCTTAGGACGTTATTCAAACATCAAATTATCATTATGAATAAAACAAAAAAAGGGGATATCTATGTACCTTTCAAGAGCATTACAGGCAATCTAAAAAGTCATTGATGTAGAGAACAATTACAATGGGAGAAAAAGTATTCATTCCACTTTACAGCAAAGAAATGCTTCCATACAGTTAGCAGCATCCAGTCCCGGACATACTAAGGAATGGATCACTCGGCCTACAACGGTCATTGGAACGCTAGGGTGTCAGTCTAGTTGATAATCACGTGATTTATTCTGAATGGGTGAGCAAGACTGTAGGATCACTCAGCCATGTGATGGATGTGGCTTACAAATGAAAGAGGCCTCTCTCCTTTTTTTTTTGCTACAACCAACAAGAGTTTTCGAAACAAAAGAAACAGAAAGGAAAATAAGAATATATTTGATAATTTAAAATAATGAATATATTAAATCTCAATGTGCTTGATGGAGGAGGGGATCTACCTTTAAGGCAATCAGATTGCCCAGGAAAGAGTCATTCATCCTGGAGCAGATCACTCAGGTGATTAGGGAGGCATCTGAGCAAGAGTGAGAATCAGCTGAACACCTTTTCACCCAGTTCATCTGATGTCTTAGCCAAAAAAGGTGTCATGAGCAATATAGTAAAAACCAGACTGCATGTCCAACCAAAAAAGTGCCCAGCCCAGTTGAATTAGTGGTTCAACCAGTCATCAAACCAATGGGACCAATGAACACCGGTCAAATCCCTAAACATAATAAAAATTATAACATTACATGTTTCAAGATTGATTTTCCAGCAGACCGAGCTGGTTGGGTCTTCAGTCAGTGGTCTGACTGGTTGTACCTGCCGGTTTCGTCCAATTCTAATAACACTGGTCATGTGGTATATTTTATTAGTCTACGTTAGGGCATGGGATGCCCTTCTTGTCATCTCTTGGATAAGGTTGCCTTTCAGTTTTGCTAATGTCACATTGTTGTTATTAACTTATTTGTGCTTATGCTCTACCAGTTATATCTTGCCATTAAAAAAAAAAACACTAGATCAATCTACCAAAAGATAAAACCAAACAAACAAAATTTACAAAGACCTTTAAATTACTCATTCTACTAGTTATGGATTTTCCAGTACATAATACATGAACAAGTGCATTGTGCCATTTTTGGTTGTATTGAAATTGATCAGCAGTTAATGAGGAGAATCTTAAATACCAACATGACAAAGAAGAAGTGTTAGGTCAGACCTATTACAGCCAACCACAGAGACTTTATACTTCGTTAAAATCCTCTACAGTAATGCATCCTTCACTTATTACAGCCAGAATTTTAGAAGCTGTCATGAGAAGTATGCTCTACAAAACTGCATGCCAACACCGAAATATATTGATATACAACCAAAGTAAACCATACAGAACGGTACCTTGTCTATCAAGTGTTGCTTGAGGCGGGCTAACTCTTGCAATGCTTTGTCCCTTTCTCCGCATGCAGCTTTCAGAGTTTGATCCCATTCACGTTGTGATATCGTCAATCCATCTGGGCCAAGCATTTTGTCAGATGGCTGTACCTACACAGCAGAAATTTGTATTTGAAGGTATGTAGAGATTGTAAATAATGGTGATGAACAAAAAGAAAGAAATAAAATAAATGAACAATTGTTCCTATGGGGTGCAATCCCAATTATGACGCAAGATCCGTTCAACAATCTACAGATGTCGAGAAAACAAATTTACACGTATAGGAGTGTTAAGTTTTTCATAACCATTACTTTCTCAAGAGAATAGGAAAACAAAGGAAAATGAGAATCAAAAACTCCCAATCTAAGAAAAACGGATTTCGTCACACACTTAATGCTCAGATTTCTCATATCTTCATGCCATCTCAGTACAAGGGCATTAGGAAGACTACTGCGTCATACAGCATAAATTCTTATGTTCTTGCATTGGTACTCCTGCACCATACATTTAAAATTGAATGATACGAGATATTAATATCATAAATTGAGTTAAGTATCCAGAAAACAAATTGGAGTTCATTTTTTTCTGCCAAGATTCATATCCAATATATATACCAAGGCTCCATATGCGTTCAAACAACGACTTGATTCGATCAAGGGTAACACCTATATCATTATATGCATGTTTAACATTAAATAAGTATTTGTGTTCTTTAAACATGCTTTTGAATGCTCAAGGGAGTTTGCATCATTTGAAATATAAAGTTCCAGTGAACAACCACACACACAAACATATTATACAATTTCGGCTCACTGTATTTTCCAGCCAAATTGTAATTTGGACCAAAAGTACATTTTGGCTGATTACAGTTTGACCCCATTGGTGTGTTTGATTTTCATAATGCAATAAAAAATGAATTGCAATTTGGACCACAATTGCAGATCATGACAAAACCACTTGGAGAGGTCTATCAACCTCTCTCTCTCCCACCCAAAAAAAAGGCCCCCAAAATAATTGTGCTGTCACCGTCACCACTGCTGCCACCACAACAATTACACTGTCACCCCAACCACAACTACCATTGTATACCTTCTCTACCACCATCACCATTGCACCTGCGACCACCATTTACTCCGACAACTCCAAAACCACCACCATCACACTGCTGCCAGCCCTCCACCATCACATCACCACCATTATTATCAAAGCACATAATAAGAAATTGCAATTCAAATCAGAACAATCAAACATCCCTAGACAGCAAAAACGTTCCCTCAGTAACCCTACTCTGAACAAATCACAATTCTTTTCGGTAAAGATTACAAATGGGTAGATCTCTACAGGTTCAACAAGTTCTGGTTGATAAATGGAGTACTAAGGAAGAGGTGCAACTTTGCTCACATAGCTAGTTTATTCCTTTCTTCTAAATTAATATTTATCAAATAAAAGTACAAGATCAAAGTATTGAAGTAGCTGCAAGAAAGCAAGACTTGGTGAAAAAACATACAGCAGCAGATCAACAGAACTAAACCTCCAAAGGTTCTATCAATCAATAAGAATAAAGAACTATCGGTCAGTAACAAGATAAAGGCATTTACCTCATTTGGATTGCAGATGTATGGATTCGAATCCTTGGCATCTCGTTGGCACTGTTGCAAAGCATTCACAAGTTTATCCATCTCTGACTACAGCAAAAGTACAAACCTCAGATATAGTACGAAACATAACAGACTCATGAAACAATGTTCCATTTTCTGGTAATGAAATTATTACGACGAGCCCTAAAGTGTAGGATGAATGATGCTGGTGAAAATGTTCAAAACGATAGATTCAGGCGCCTAGGCGGTCTGGGTGCCTGGCCGCCTAGGCAGTTGGGTGCGGGCACGCAGAGACAGGGTGCCCTCACCAAAACCAAACTCTCCCCCCCCCCCCATCCCAAACATCGTCCAAGTGAGAAAAAAAAATAAATTAATCACCAAAAAAAAATCTATCTTTTAACAACAAACATGTAAATATATCGTAAAAGAAAAAAAAAAGTAAAAGAAAAAACACATGATTCAAAACATAATATGTTGTAGCAAAATAAAATCAAAACCCTCTTTCAAATATGATAATATTTTAAAAATATCAAAATCAAATCAATGTCGGTGCAAACCTCATCTATTGGGTTACCAAAAGTTCTCAAAATCTACTAAAAGCTCCAAATCCACCCATGAACGATTGCCTTCGTTTTGGGGAAGAAATCGAAAAAATAAAAAATATATGGATCTTTCGATAAGTCACAAAAGAGTGGTTTTTTGGGGGTTTTTCTCACCCTAAAGGCCACGGATTTCTATTGGGGGTTTAAAATACCCCTTAAAACCCTTTTTCCCCCTTTTTAGGGGGGAAAATTAAATTTTTTACCCCCACAGAGAGATTTTTTCTGCCCGCCCACAAGTTTTCACGGGGCGGCGCCTAGGCAGGCATCTAGAAGCAAGGCACATAATGACCCCACCCAGACTGCACCTAGGCGTTTTTAAAAATCTGAGGATGCATATAGAATGTTTCTCTTGGCAAATCGATTATCCATCATAAGATATTGAAAATTCAGATGCAATGGATAAAGAAACTTTAAACAAGTGTGAGAAATGACAGATGCAAGAAGTCCAAGAAGTCCTAGTAAGTCACAATACCACAGAGTAAGATAAAGCAGGCTCGATGAATTAGTAGTTATAAGTGCCAACCTTAAGATCATCCTTCTCCTTCTCTAATGAACATATTATACTTTTCAGGTTGTCAACAGATTCTAATGGTTTCTCCATTTCCCTCCTATTTAGCTCCGACTGCAGCCTTTTTATATCCAACATTCTGTTATTCACCTCATTTCGTAGTTCTTTAATCTCTGCAGACAGCTGTGAGACAAAATACATGAGTGTTATTTGGGTGGCACAAAACTTTATACAAATGAAAAGAAACCACGGATATGAAGATGTTAAACTACAACAACCAAATAGAAAAAGTAAACTCCCCTGACAGTTAACAACAAGAAAAATTAGTCCAAGGCTATAGATGTAAGCAATTCTATTTCATAAGAAAGAAGACAATGACTTTGATTGTTTGCATGAATTTCAGCCACAAATCTAATCAGATCCGCTCCCGACCAAGCTTAGAAGCAAGCGGGCATCATACCATAGGCTGGATAGAAACTCACTGAGCCTTATCACCCATATTTGTCACTATTAAATAATAAACAGTATTTCCTTTCGTGAAAAGAAAGCATAGTCCCAATAAGTATAACTATTTCAATCTCAAGGCATAAACTAATCCCAAGTTTGGATGTTCGGTTACACAATTTGTCAATTTCCATAATAATTATTAACCTAATAAAGTACAAAAGAAGTCAATCAGCATCCTCAGTTCTTGCCAATCAATCTTCTTTCCTTCCTACATAGCAACTCTAAATATAGATCATTATCAGTGTTGGCACATGCAATGATGACCAAAAAGGACAACAATCAGAAGTATAAGGTGTAGTATAACAGACCACATAACCAAGTTAAGACGACAGATGTTGAGAACAGACTCACTGATTACTTGTACCATGTTTTAAAAATCAGAGTCAGTCAGTTTCAACAACCCTTGCCAATAAATCATCTTTCCCTACCGCATAGTGTCTCTGAGTACAGATCCTTATCAGTGTCAGCATATGCAGTGATGCCTAAAGTGGACAAAAATGAAAAGTAGAGTATGGAAGACATCCAGAACCAAGTGAAGATAAAAATTTGGGAACAGACTGATGACATGTACCACATACTAAATATCTAGCAAGTCACGGCAAGCTAGACAAGGGTTCCAAATAAACAAATGGTATGTGTATTGCATGATGCTCAAGATGAGAAACTAAACGAAAAAGTAACTTTTTTGAAAAAAAATATGTTATTTTCACTTTGTAATGTACTTTTAAAACTATTCAGTTTTACCTTTTAATCTGATTACTTTTTTGTTTAATTATTATTTAGTTTGTTATATTTAATTTTATTTCGTATATCTGACTAGCTTCAGATTTTTATGTGATATGCCTATTTAATTGAGATAGGAAACAAGTTGTTCAAATGAGAATTCCATTTTCAAGAAGAAATTCCTATACTAATGTCCAATGGAGCCATCCAATTCATATTATGGTAGGTTTTCTTTTACATAGGAAACCCCATGAGGAGAGAGCTTCTAGGAAAAGTGAAGGGGCAAAAATGAGTACCAAGAAGAATTGAAAAATAACACTCCTAGCTTTTCTCCCTTAGTAATATAAATCTTTATAAAGGTCCTATATAGGTGTAGTTTTACTTAGCCTCTAGGAGAACATCGTCCTTTGAGTACTTGACATTTTCTTCCTAAGGGACATTGATAATCTTTTTATCTATAATGATGAGCAAAGGATAAGATCAAACACCTTTTTGAATGACCTAATACTCATAAGGGACTACTTACTTCAAGTTCAAGAAAATATGCCATGTGTGATTGACATCCTTCATCTTGAAACATTGATGCTGGACAACATACCTCTTATTTTTTTAATTTTCTTATCAAATTTAAGAGATGCATTTTTGGAATTTTCCAAGGACTTGTTTTTAGGATTTTTTAAATTTTGTTTTTTGCGATTCTAGGGTTTTGCTAAATTTTCAGGATTTTAGGAGTTATCGGGATTTTTAGGTTTTGTTTTTTGCGATTCTAGGGGTTTGTTAAATTTTCAGTATTGGAGTTATCGTAATTAGAGTCCTTATGGAATATTCTCTTATTATGGTTAAAAATTTCATTGCATTTTTGTTTTAATTAGGACTTCTATTTTTATTAGAATTAGTATTTTGTGGGCTTTGAGTAAGATCTCTAGTTTATAAATAGGGATCTATGTAGAGAATTTTGAATAGAGAGTTGAGTTTTGATATCTTGTTTCCAATTTAACCAATAGAGAACTGACACAATTAGTTTTTGGGAAAGTATATAATGAGACCATTTACCTTTGGTACAAGGTGGTCACAATTAATCTTGACCATTGAATGTAAAATTGGGTGGGTGCATTTATTTCATTGACCAAGCTCAAAGTTCAAAAGCAATTTTCTCAAACTTTGTGACACCCCCCAAGCTATCAGATTTCACATCGGATGGTTGTAAGTAATTGTGATCTCCCTATACAAAAGGTAAATTGTCTCATTGAATACAATCCCTTAGTTTTTTTTAGTTTTTATATACTATTTTTTTGGAGATAAAAATTACGGGGATTTTTATTTTTTTTGAGTTTCTAGTTTTCGTTTAGAGTATTTGAGTCTTTTTTTATCGTATAGAATTGAAGAATAGAATTGGAAGTTTAATTTTTAAAAAGATGAAGGGCAATGATTTAATATTATTAGGGTTTCTTAGGGAGCAAGTCATGTTTTAGAATTTTCGTTCTATAAAAAAGTTATTATTGGACAAAAAAGAAAGAAGAGAAGAAGAATTTATTTTGGGTCGTGTGAAAAGATCTTTTTGGGATGGACTCCCTAGCACCCTTAAGAAAGGTTATATTCTCTGAAAGTGAGTTAAAAGCAAACCGCCCAGCACCTGGGCGGCATGTAGGCGATCCAGAAGGACTGGGCACATCGCCCAGGCCTAAGCGGCCAAATTAGACGGGTATCCCTAGGCGCCCAAGAACTCGTCGAAGCGCGCGCCCAACCCTGGGCGGCCGCCCAAAGGCCTGCGCACCGCCCAAGGGTGGAAATGCCCCTCATTTAGGGCATTTTTTTGTAATTGTTTTAATGCTAAAGGGGCAAAATTGTGGGTTTTAGGTTCATTTGAAACCCAAAACTCAGTAGAGCCGATTTTAGAGAAAGAAAAACCAAGAAATATAGTTTTTAGTGGTTTCTCTAAGTTACGATACTAGATTTATTTTTGGATGTTTTATAAATCTATTAGAGGTTTTTTAGAAGATTTTGAGTCCTTAGAAACATCTTAGAGGTGGAAGTTTGGAGATCGAGCAATAAAAGTTAGTGATTTATTTTTTTTTATTGCTCATATTATTTTGAGAAATCTTCCTCAGGATCTAATCGAAGTGGTGATCCAGGTTGGAAATATGGTTACAACTCGAATCCTTTGGATAAAAATTGCATAAGATGCAAGTTTTGTGAAAAAGATACAACAGGGGGCAAAAACTAATTCAAGAAACATCTTGTCGGTATCAAAAGGGATGTAGCCCCATGTAAAAAAACTCATGATGTTGTTAAAGAGGAGATAAAAAAATTTATGAATCTTGTAAAAGAGAAAAAAGATGAGAGACAATGAATAATTGGATATAGACTAATGGTTATAGAGTATGGAGGAGTGTCTGCGATGTGGACTTGTGTATTATACATTTGATGTGCCTAAATCCCTCATTCTTATGTGTTACGCAGTTATACTTATAATGTTAGACAATGACACATTTTTCTTTCTATTGGGGCGCTCATAACCTAGGCACTAGGTGGCTTGGTCCCCCCAACAGCCTAGGCGCAGCCTAGCGCTTTTTGAAACACTGTTCCTACCCTATTTTTATTTTTTGTTTTCCAGTTTGTTATTTTCTTCTCCATGAATTCAGAAGACCCATCAACTAAAGATACATCAATTATAATAGCACAAAAAACTGCTCTTACGATCAATGATATAATCGCCCCAATCATGATGCGTGTGAAGCAAGAAATGAAAGAGAGTATAAATCAAGTCATCAAAGATATTTGAGGTCAGCTTTGTGGCGTTCAAGGAGGATCGACAAAATTCGTGAATATCGACAAGATAAATTGTGACTGCAACGATTAGAAAATAACTAGCACTAAGAAGAAGGTATTGTCAATCTCGTAGATCTAGTACCAAAACTCAACCAAGGGATGAATCGAAATTCACCATATACTCTAACGGCTGATCCCATACGAAGTAAACAAATTTCAATGCAAGAATCATGACTTGAAGAAGGTCCAAAAGTTATCGGAACCGAATTCCATCTTCCCGAGTTTCATAAGGAACTTGAGAGAGAAATTAAAATTATATTTTGTATCCCAGAATTCCAGTACATGCCGCACATCAAGTGTTTGATTAATTAGATGATTGAAGAAAGACAACGGTACCCAGGCAAATAATGGGACTCCATCACCAATTATTTAAGTGGCCTTTAGAGGATGTGATATGCACAACAAGTTTGAGATCAAGCATCTCCCAAACCCAAGAGAATGATGCCAATAGTTTTTTATTTTCATATGTTACTATATTTTTTAAAGATAAAAATTTAAGATTTCGGGTTTATTTTGGGTTTCTAGTTTTCGTTTTAAAGTATTTGAGTCTTTTTCTATTGTAGAGAATTAAATAGTAGAATTAAAAATTAATTCTTAAAAAAATGAAGGGCTAGGACTTAATATTGATTAGGGTATCTTAAGGAGGAAGTTCGGATTTAGGATTTTTGTCCTACAAATGTGTAACTATAGGACAAAAAAGAGAGAAGGGTAGAAGAATTTATTTGGGTCATGTGAAAGATCTTTTGGGGTGGACTTCTTTGCAGACCTTGAGATAGGATATTCTCTCCTCTATTTATCTAATCTTCTATTTTTCTCGCTCATTTACTTCCCTTTTCATTTTATGTTTTATTCATTGATGCCTTTTTATTTTGTTTATCTTTTATTTTTATTTATTGTTTATTTTTTGATGCAAGGAAAAGGGGAAAAAGAGAAGTCAACAAACTAAAAAATAAAAAATAAAATAAATGGAGAGAGGGTATGCAAGGAAGTTCACCCCAAAAGATATTTTCACAAGACCCAAATCAATTATTCTTCTCTTCTCTCTTTTTTAATCAAATAGTTACACATTTATAGCATAATATACTAAAATCCAAATTGCTCCCTAAGAAACCCTAATCAATAGT